AGCCTCTGCCAACAACCTGCAGGACGCCTCCACCTGCAGATTTGGCCGACAGCTACAGTCCAAAGCTACAACTATAGCCTCTGCCAACAACCTGCAGGACGCCTCCACCTCCAGATTCTGGCAGACAGCTACAGTCAAAAGCTACATCCATAACCTCTGCCAACAACCTGCAGGACGGCTCCACCTGCAGATTTTGGCCGACAACTACAGTCCAAAGCTACAACTACAGCCTCTGACAACAACTTGCAGGACGCCTCCACCTGCAGACTGTGGCAGACACCTGTAACCGAACCCTGAGTCTGAAGCCTCTGATAAGGGTCTGCAGGTCACCCCAACAGACGGCTACGACCCAAGTCTACATCTACGGCCACTGCCAGCAACCTGCAGGATGCCTCCACCTGCCGATTGTGGCAGAAAGCTGCAGCCCAACCCTACATCTGAAGCCTCTGCCAACAACCTACAGGATATATCCACCTGCAGACTGTGGCAGACAGCTACAGTCCAAAGCTACAACTACAGCCTCTGACAACAACCTGCAGGATGCCTCCACCTGCAGATTGTGGCAGATAGCTACCATCCAAAGCTACAACTACAGCCTGTGACAACAACCTGCAGGATGCCACCAAATGCAGATTGTGGCAGACAGCTACAGTCCAAAGCTACAACTACAGCCTCTGACAACAACTTGCAGACCACCCCAAAAGACAGCTGCAGCCCAAACTACGCATATAACCCCTGCAAACAACCTGCAGATCACCCAAAAAGACAGCTACAAACCAAGTCTAAAACTATAGCCTCTGCAAACAACCTGCAGGACACCTCCACCTGCAGACTGTGGCAGACACCTGCAGCCCAACCCTACATCTGAAGCCTCTGCCAACAATCTGCAGGATATCCACCTTCAGACTGTGGCAGACAGCTGGCAGGGGAAGTTACTGCCCCTGCCATACAGCTACAGCCTGAACCTCCACCTACTGCCTATGCCAGCAATCTGCAATGCTGCATCCACCTTCAGGTTCTGACAGACAGCTTCAGGCTAAACTCCACCTACAGCTTTTGCTGCCAATCTGCACTTCCACCTGAACAATCTGCCAGATAGATGCCATCTGAACATCGTCCTACAGCTTCCATCAACTTTCATTGCTGTTTCTAACTCCAGATTTGAGCTGACATGCAGCATTAACCTCCACCCACAGCTTCTGCCAAAAACCTGCACTTCTGCCTTCACTTGAAGATTCTGAAGTCTGCCAGACTGTAACACAAACCTCCACCAACAATCTTTTGCCAGTCAATCACCACCATACAATTCTGGCAGACAGCAATTTGCAGCCCCAGGTAGCTTTGTTTTTCCCAAACTTTATCCCTGATGTTTTCTATTTCAGGTGAGGTTGTTGCTTTGGGTTATCTCATGTCACTATTTCTACTGCAGCTTTTTCACTTAGCTTTATGTGATGTGACTTTTCTTTATCAGACCATCACCTCCTTAGGAGTTCACATTCAAAAGTGAAACATTCAGCCTTGTGTTTGATGAGGCCACGATCTACAATCCACTTGTTGCCAAGGGGAGCATCTTCAGTGAAATTAGGGTGTTCTAAAGATGAAGAAGAGGTGACGAAGATGTTCTTAGAAAGGAAAGCTCCAATAGTTTCTGCCCTAACAGATTAAGGATCCTTCAGCCCCTTTAGCCTAATTTGCCAATTAGCTTTCTGTGTTACTTGTACTTGTTCTATAAACCTTTGCACTGTTGAACAATAAAGTCCAAATATTTCTGCAGTAATCAATTTGGTTTTTGTAGTCCACAAAGGTTAGCAAAATATACCTTAATATTTAACATTTTAGTACATTTTTAATTTTGAGTGAATGGTTCTTCACCTTTCAATACAATTGAGTACAAAGAAAAACTGTTTTGTTAACTTGTGTTTCTTAGTTGTGCTTACACTGCATGTCTTGACTAATGTCAAACTTATCATTCACTGAACTTATTTTTATGCGTGTCAGATGAGCCACATGGTCTTTAAACCAAACAATGGTGTTTTTGCTGTAAAGCTGAAAATTATTCGATTATTGTCTGTATGCTATTTCATTGTCTATAAATAGAAAGGAGTGTACATTGTGTAAAATCCCAGTTTACAAGGATATGTAAGTGCCTAAAGCACAATACAAATGCCACAAAGTGCAGGGCAGTGTCCCACTTTTTCCCACTTGCTAATCCAGGAGTTGAAGCTGGGAGGAGAAATCTGAAATCGGTTAGAAGCTTCCTCCACATTTGTATCTGAAAAAGTATTTCTCTTTGCTGCTCTGATGATCCACCATGCTGCTCATACAATACAATAATTATACAATACATTATAATAGAATAACACAATACATCTAATTTAAAAGAAAAATAAAGGAAAACTATGGCTGGCTTGTGAAGGGGGACAGAGTTTCTCTTCTTGGTCTGGAGAGAGAAAGTAATCCTCAGGCTCATCAACCAATCAGTGGTCCTCTGTCAGTTTCACCTGCTGTCAGGGATAAACAGATGAACATGGCTGTAAGATGTTCAAGAAGTTCATGGTGTAGCATGTATCACCCCATTCACTTAAGCAAGCAGAGAAATACGGAAAATAAACAGAACACAATAGCTGGTGATGGAGTTTAAATCAACACATTAAGGTAAAAAGACTCAAGCATTAATAAAATGATTACTACACATAAAGATGCTTAGGTCTGCATCAAGTCTAGCTGTCAGCAAATGACTAGTGTTTGACCAGTGTGTCTGTGTACCCATTCCCTCGCTACAGCTGAGGAAG